TTCATAGACTAAAAAATTCTCTTCTTGGAGAGCTCTCCAGCCCTCCTGGTGTACCAACTCAGACCCCAGATGAAATCTCCTTTTTATCCAGCTGCCTGAGGGAATTCCTGGGCAAGGGAACCCCGAATCTGCCACTTTTAAATCAGCAGTCCCAGATGGGGGATAGTCAGGTTTCCCACCAGAATGCCCTCTCCCCTTATCTGGCCCAGGAGGTATGGGATTACTCACTCAGTCCTCTTCTGCCAGCTTATGGGTTGGTGGCTGTCTTAAGGCCTTATGCTGGCTCCTTCCTGCTTCCCAGGCTGTGCTCTCTCAGGGGATGGTTGAGACTGAGAGATCCTCCCTTCCAGCTCCTGCCTACAGGTAGGTCCCTCTCCTGAGCCCCTCCCAGGCTCTACACTGCAACCTTCACTCCATCTTCCACCAGACATTACTCCCCTTGCTGAGCAGGCTCAGTCATACTTAAAGGCTGCTCTGGACCCGTGCAAGCCTCCTGCTTGGTGATTGGCCAGCGTACCCTGAATATGCAGATAAGCCCCTCCTTACTCCCGCCCACTGCCTTCTAGAAACTTTGCAAGTCTCTAGAGCAGGGGGAGGTATCGGGGATCTCTAGAGCCCTCAGCCCTGACCTGAAAATGACCTGGCTGACTCACCCCAGACTGCTACTCAGCCTCTGAAAACCTATCTAGCTCCCCCTAGCTAGCTAGAGGGGCTCAACACTTACATATACCCAGTGAAATGACTGACCTCAGGTGATAGGTAGTATGAATTGTTTCATATCTGTAAGTTGTACTTGTATATCTGAAATCTTCTGTTCTCCACAATCATTCAATGTACAGAATTTCTCAAACTTGTCTGAGCTGTCAGAAAAAATGGAGTGAAGAGCTGAAGTTACATTCTGCAATGTAAGATCAGTAAGGGGAACTCTGAGAGCTGATTGGGGGGAAGATCAATCACAATATTGCCAATACACATGTTCCTGAAAATGGCTGTTCAGTATAGCTGGGTGCTGCAGTGATCACAGGCTGGGAACCATGGGTGGGCACTCAATGTGAAGAAATATCAACAGCACACCAATGGTTCCTTAAACAGGTCCAAAGTTTTATTCCGTGGTCAATTAGTGCAAACAAAGGCAATGTTTTGGAGCCATGCAGGGCCCCTTTGTCAGGCATGTGACCACAGAATAGAAATGTGGATGTATTTGAGGAATCCTTGGTGTGCTGATGACATTTCTTTACACCCATTGGAGGAAAAGGACCAGGGGCGGACTGACCATTTGGAAACTCGGGCACTGCCCGAGGGTCTGGGGTCAGTAGGGGGCCCCATGAGATACCCCTGGTACCTTTTTCATATGCTTTTTTGAGTTTTTACAAGGACACAGGGGCCCCATGATCCCCCTTTGCCCGGGGGCCCCATGAGTTGTCAGTCCGCCCCTGAAAAGGACACACCCCCATCCTCACAGCACACAGGAGACTGTCAATCAGCTAGAGATCCCTCCCTGTCACCATTTTTCTCTTGGTGTCAGGAAAACTTGTCAGAAATTACTCATGCATATAGCAGAGGAACAAGCCAGCAGGCAGAAATGACACTTAGAGTTTATTTACTAACCGTTTATCGGGATGGGTTGGATGGAAGCATAGCTGATGTGGGGGGCCGTTTCTAAATGTCCCCCTGCATCCATTGCCTGTGTGCACTCCCTGGGAGCGCGCAGTGCTGCGATCTGTACCCGCTGTGTCCACCGGATACAGTGGAACACAGATCGCTGTACAGGGCCGTTGTGTGAGGTCCCGATTCATATGATCACTGATTGGTCAATCAGTGATCACATGACCAGTAGTAAACAAGATGTCACCTCCTGACTAGAGAGGTCACATGGTACAAGGCCATTCACAACAGCCTTGTACCATGTGATAAGCTGTGACCAATTACAGCTCTCACAGTATTTCTCAATGGCTGCAGGAATGCAGCCAGAGAGAAGGAGAAATTATTGCTTTTACAGCCTTTATGGATATAAAGGAAATCAGTGTAAAAAAAAAAAATCTTGATGATCCGCCACAAGTAGTACAGTGTCACTATGGTGCTAGGGTGTAATAATAATAATAGTAATAAAAAAATAAAATTAAAATGTGAACATTTTTTTGAAAAATTATAATTATTTTTCTATAAACTGATTCGAGTTATTTTGTTTACCATAAAGGTACCAGAACACATATTGGCCAAAATGTATGAAGAAAGATTATTTGCTAAATTTTATAAGAAAAATTTTTTTTTCTAAATGTTTTAATTTTTATAGCAAAAAAATAAAAATCCCAGTGGTGAATACATATCAACAAAAGAAAGTTCTATCTGTTTAAAAAAATGCTAAAAAGTTCATTTGGGTACAGTGTTGCACGACCACTCAATTGTCATTCAAAGTGTGATAGCGCTGAAAGCTGAAAATTGGCCTGGACTGGAAGGGGGTGAAAGTGTCCAGACTTGAAATGGTTAAAGCTGGAGTGTGTAAAATCAGGTTCATTTCTGCATAGAAACCAATCAGCCTCTAACCTCGGCTTATTCAATGAAGCTTTGGCAATAAAACCTGGAAGACAATTGGTTTCTATGCAGAAGTGGACCTGATTGTGCAATCTCCAGCTTCAGTAAATAAACCCCTAAGTGTAATTTCTGTTTGCTGCCCCATATTTCTCTGGATAGAGACAAGTAGACGCTATGAAGGGATATGCTTTTTCATATCTGAGGTTCACAACCACTTTAAAGTATATCTAAAGCCAAAACTAGTTTTCCATAAAGAGTAGACAATATATTCTAGTAGTTGCGATTTAACAACCCTTGTTTTTTTCCTCTTATTTTGCCACCTGTATCCCACTGGGGAGAGGTAACCAAAACTCCAAAGACATGCTGGTAGGTTAATTGGCTCCTGTCTAAATTGGCCCTAGTATGTGTATATATGAATGTAAGTTAGGGACTTTAGATTGTACACCCCTTGAGGGTTAGGGACTGATGTGAATGTACAATATATATGTAAAGTGCTGCATAAATTGACAGTGCTATACAAGTACCTGAAATAAATAAATAAATAAAAAATATTTCCCAACAGAAAGATTCGATTCCTCTATTCCTGTTTTAGTGACATCTCAAATTTTTAAATTTTCCTTGACAGTACCCACTAGGACAGATAAGGTGATTCCAGGGGGGAACACAAACAATAATAAGACCTTTTAGAGGGTTCAAACCATTCCACGAAACATAGTTTAGCTATATAATAAATTTGGTTGCTATGAATTACTGCATGTTTGACACGAAGTACATTTCTCTGTTCACTGCCTTGGTGTCTGTTGTACTCAATATAGCATGTCAGTGTGATTGGCTGTATCTTTTCATTGTCTGTATAAATTATGTATTGTGTTACAAAATGAGAAAATATCTGTTCAACGGAACATTTTGACCAGTCCCAGTGTATCAAATTCAAGGACTCTGCTTGTGGTGTGACAGATGGTTTGACAAAACAGTTCAAAGTGATATTTTACAGGATAAACTGTTGCTCATATAAATCCTGAGTGTTTATTTTTCATCACACATTTTTTTTACTTGGCTAAGGCATTGTCTGTGTTTGTTAAAGTGTTACTAAACCCACAACAGTAAAATCAGTCTGTATATGTAGTAAAGCATGCTTGTTATACTCACTGTGGAACCTAAGGGGTTAATCCTCTGCATTGTGTAAAAATGCTGTTTGATCCTGTCTTCTCTGATCCTCCCCTTCTCCCAGTGTCTCTCTCCTATCTCCTGATAAGACATATCGTTTGGAGACACTCTGCACATGTTAAGTTTGGTGTGTATTGCTAGAGAGGTTGTTTTCTCTTGGAAGCATGTATGTGATCAGCACAGGGCCAATCGGCACTGCCCAGACAGAGGTCAGGGATTCCTGCATCCTCCTAGAGCAGAATGAAAACACCTTCAACAAGCTTTAACATGTGCACGGCTGGACACTGACAGAAGTCACAAGGCTGCTATATACTGCTGATGAGAAAAGGTATTTAGCAGTTTATATTTACTAAAATAATTGCACTTCCATGTTGTGTGTACTGTGGGAGACCAGATATAGTGAATGCAGGGTCCTGGGTTTAGGAACTATTTTAACTACACAACCTTCTAAAGAAGGGGTCTCGAAACTATGGCCCTCCAGGTGTTGAGGAATTGCAAGTCCCATGAGGCCTTGCAAGACACTGACAACCACAGGCAAGACTCCCAGAGGCAGAGGCATGATGGCACTTGTAGTACTTCAACAGCTGGAGGGCCATAGTTTGGAGACCCCTGTTTTAAAGCGATTCTAAATGCAACTTTTTTCTAAATAACAAACAAGTGTATAATTACCTGCTTTTCCCACATGGAAGAAAAATATATTTTAAATTTATTTTTAAAATATTCTTCCCAAATATATTGACATATATTTGAAATACTACAATTTTGGCCGTATTCAATATATTTCATAAATATATTTATATATACCGTATTTTTCGCTCCATAAGGTGCACTTTTTCCCCCTGAAAAAGGGGGGAAAATGTCAGTGCGTCTTATGGAGCGAATATGGAGCGGCTGCTCCGGTATTTCCGCCGCCGCCACCGTGTCAGAATACCGGGCCGGCTGCTCAGTTCTTCTCTGCAGCAGGACCTTACCTGTTCCTCGGTCCAGCGCTGTACAGTCTTCTTGCGCCGGCATCTTTAGTGTGGGCACTTGGCTGTGACAGCTGGGTGCCCACTGTGCATGCGCGAGAAGCGCTGTGCTTTGTGAATGGCCCGGCGTCTTCTGGGACACATGACAGGTCCCAGAAGACACCGTGCCTTTCACAAAGCACAGCGCTTCTCGCGCATGTGCAGTGGGCACCCAGCTGTCAGCTGAGTGCTCGCATTAAAGGGAGGACAACTCCGAGGAAGTGGGAGCGAGTACCTGTATAATTCACCCGCTCCCCCCTCCCTCCCCAAAGGTCCGCAGTCTCTTGTTCAGCTCCTGTACTGTCTGCAGTCTCTGGTCATCCCCAGTACTGTCTGCAGTCTCTGGTCATCCCCTGTACTGTCTGCAGTCTCTTGGTCATCTCCTGTACTGTCTGCAGTCTCTGGTCATCCCCTGTACTATGTCTGCAGTCTCTGGTCATCCCCTGTACTGTCTGCAGTCTCTTGGTCATCTCCTGTACTGTCTGCAGTCTCTGGTCATCCCCAGTACTGTCTGCAGTCTCTGGTCATCCCCTGTACTGTCTGCAGTCTCTTGGTTATCTCCTGTACTGTCTGGAGTCTCTGGTCATTCCCAGTACTGTCTGCAGTCTCTGGTCATCCCCTGTACTGTCTACAGTCTCTGGTCATCCCCTGTACTGTCTGCAGTCTCTGGTCATCCCCAGTATTGTTTGCAGTCCCTTGGTCATCTCCTGTACTGTGTCCGCAGTCTCTGGTCATCCCCAGTATTGTCTGCAGTCTCTGGTCATCCCCTGTACTGTCTGCAGTCTCTTGGTCATCTCCTGTACTGTCTGCTGTCTCTGGTCATGCCCTGTACTGTCTGCAGTCTCTGGTCATCCCCTGTACTGTCTGCAGTCTCTGGTCATCCCCAGTACTGTCTGCAGTCTCTGGTCATCCCCTGTACTGTCTGCAGTCTCTGGTCATCTCCTGTACTGTCCGCAGTCTCAGGTCATCTCTTGTACTATGTCTGCAGTCTCTGGTCATCCCCTGTACTGTCTGCAGTCTCTGGTCATCCCCTGTACTGTCTGCAGTCTCTGGTCATCTCCTGTACTGTCTGCAGTCTCAGGTCATCTCTTGTACTATGTCTACAGTCTCTGGTCATCTCCTGTACTATGTCTGCAGTCTCTGGTCATCTCCTGTACTATGTCTGCAGTCTCAGATCATCTCCTGTACTTTGTCCGCAGTCTCTGGTTATCTGTACTGTGTCTGCAGTCTCTGGTTATTTTCTGTACTATGTCTGCAGTCCATTGGTTCAGAATATTTTTTTTCTGGTTTTTCACTTCTAAAACCTAGGCGTGTTTTATAGTGAGGAGCGTCTTATGGAGCGAAAAATACTATATATATATGATGTTGAAATGTGTTTTTTATATATTAAAAAATATATGAAAAATATTTTTAAAAATACATGTTCAAATATGTCTTTGAAAATACATTCAATCTACATTTTTGGAATGAATTAACAAATATATGTAAAAATATGTTAAAAATACTTTTTTATATGTTAAAAAGAATCTGAAGAATATATTAAAAAAATATATTTTTAAATATATGCTTGTAGAAAATATATTTAAATTTAAATTTTTTAGAATACATGTTAAAATATATTTGCGTAGGCCAATATATTGTAAATATATGCACATATATAATTTTTTTTCTGAATATATTGCAAATATATTTCTCCTCCATGTGGGTTTGGAATTTCATTGGACAGAGCAGCCCCGATCCTCTTCTGCTCAGGTCCCCAGCCAGTACGCCTGGCTTCTCCTCTTATCAGAGTGCCACCATAGGAAGCCTATGGTGGCATGTTTGTAGTAAAACCATAAACCTCAGTGCTGGTCCGAGCTGAAGAATGCCAGCTCATTACTACACTATGAGCTGACATTCTTCTCCTTTTTGGTGTCTGTTTCCCCGAGAGAGATCTGGTACATAAGAGTCTGCAACCAGGAGAAGCGCTGCACACAACTGGACTGATTGAAAAGTCATATTTGGGAATCTGCTTTACTTTGTTTGGGCCTGATAACTGTGCTATTTGACCAATACTTTGGGTAATCAGATCCTTTGGTAAGAGGCTGTGTGATTGGGTGGCTGGTGGAGGATCCTTTTTGTCCATTTTCTTTCTCCAAGCACCAGCACTTACAGCCTTATGTGGACTAATATTTCAACTTGTGCAATTTTGCACTCCCTTTAATCCACTATTGGTGGGGTTGTTCACTTATGATGTTTTATGTTTAGTTTGTACTGTTAGCGCTTATTATAAAGTATATTATATGATTTTTTTTTCCATATTGAGGATCCATGCATACTAGCATTTTTTTAAGCTGGAAAAATGGAAAAAATGCTGGATAAAAAACACTGGTGATAGCTTTTTTAGTATTGTTTTAGTAGCATTTAGAAGCAGTTAGTAGCATTGGCATTTTATTGGCATTTTTACAGTACATTTAGAGGAACAAAAAGCTAGAAAAAAGCTGTTAAGAGCATTTTAGTAGGGTCTAGGAGCGTTGAGTTTTTTTTCTGCTGAAAAAACACCCCAAAAACAATTTTCTTTCTGCTCATAGATGCTGAAGCTCAAAAAATGCTAATAGCCTAAAGTAGTGTCCATGGACACATAGATAACATGATTTCACTGCTAGGAGCTGGAAAAAACATTAGTGTGCATGGAGCCTGGATGTGCTAGTTGCTTTTTTTAACTCATTTTTTTAGACCTGAGCACAAGTGTGTTGGATGCCTAAAATGTTGATTCATGTACAGTTGCAAGAAAAAGTATATGAACCCCTTGGGATTACGTGGAGTTTTGCATGAATTGGGCATAAAATGTGCTCTGAATGTCATCTAAGTCACAACAATAGAAGAACACAGTCTGCTGAACATAATACTACACAAACATTAGATGTTGCCATGGTTTAAATTGCACATAACATGTAAACATTCACAGTGCAGGGAGGAAAAAGTATGTGAGACCCTAGCTTAATGACTTCTCCCAGAGCTAATTGGAGCCAGGAGTGAGCCAACCTTGACTCCAATCAGTGTGATGATATTGGATGTGTTGCTGACAGTTGTCCTGCCCTTAAAAAACACACACCTGTTTTGGGTTTACTGGTTTCAAGAAGCACTGTCTGATGTGAACCATGCCTCGCAGAAAAGAGCTCTCAGAAGACCTACGATCAAGAATTGTTGACTTGCATGAAGCTGGAAAGGGTTACAAAAGTATCTTCAAAAGCCTTGATGTTTGTGTGTCCACGGTAAGACAGACTGTCTACAAATGGAGAAAGTTTAGCATTGTTGCTACTCTCCCTAGGCGTGGTTGTCCTGTAAAAATGACTGCAAGAGCACAGCGCAGAATGCTGCATGAGGTAAAGAAGAATCCCAGAGTGTCAGCTAAAGACCTACAGAAATCTCTGGCACATGCTAACATTTTTGTTGACACATCTACAATAAGGAAAACATTAAACAAGAATGGAGTACATGGGAGGACACCACGGAGGAAGCCATTGCTGTCCAAAAAGAATATTGCAGCATGTTTGAAGTTTGCAAAAGAGCACTTGGATGTTCCACAGCACTACTGGCAAAATATACTGTGGACAGATGAAACCAAGATTGAGTTGTTTGGGAAGAACACACAACACTATGTGTGGAGAAAAAAAGGCACAGCACACCAACATCAAAACCTCATCCCCACTGTAAAACATGACGGAGGGAGCATCATGGTTTGGGGCTGCTTTGCTGCCTCAGGGCCTGGACGGATTGTTGTTATTGATGGGAAAATGAATTCCAGAGTTTATCAAGACATTTTGCAGGAAAACGTACGACCATCTGTCCGCCAACTGAAGCTCCGCAGAAAATGGGTGATGCAACAGGACAATGACCCAAAACATACAAGTAATTCAACAAAACATTGGCTGCAACAGCACAGAATACGCCTTCTGGAGTGGCCCAGTCAGAGTCCTGACCTCAACCCGATTGAAATGCTGTGGCATGACCTTAAGAGAGCGATTCACACCAGACATCCCAAGAATATTGCTACACTGAAACAGTTTTGTGAAGAGGAGTGGTCCAAAATTACTCCAGATCATTGTGCAGGTCTGATCTGCAACTACAGGAAACGTTTGGTTGAGGTTATTGCTGCCAAAGGAGGGTCAACCAGTTATTAAGTCCAAAGGTTCACATACTTTTTCCTCCCTGCACTGTGAATGTTTACATGTTATGTGCAATTAAACCATGGCAACATCTAATGTTTGTGTAGTATTATGTTCAGCAGACTGTGTTCTTCTATTGTTGTGACTTAGATGACATTCAGAGCACATTTTATGCCCAATTCATGCAAAACTCCACGTAATCCCAAGGGGTTCATATACTTTTTCTTGCAACTGTATGACCAGCTTCAGACTAGCAGACTTAGATGGACTCGACTAAAAATGAAAGCAAACACTTTATATACAGTGAAGGAAATTTGATCCCCTGCTGATTTTGAATGTTTGCCCACTCACAAAGAAATGATCAGTCTAAAAATCGAATGGTAGGTGTATTGTAACACTGAGAGACAGAATAGCAACAAAAAATTCAAAGGAAATGCATGTCTAACAAATGATGCACTGATCTGCATGTTCATGAGGGAAAATAAGTATTTGATCCCCTTCACAAAACATGACTTAGTACTTGGTGGCAAACCCCTTGTTGGCAATCACAGAGGTTTCCTGTAGCTGGCCACCAGGTTTGCACACATCTCAGGAGGGATTTTGGCCCACTCCTCTTGGCAGATCCTCTCCAAGTCATTAAGGTTTGGTGACTGACGTTTGGCAACTCGAACTTTCAGCTCCCTCCACAAATTTTCAATTGGATTAAGGCCTGGAGACTGGTTAGGCCACTCCAGGACCTTAATGTGCTTCTTCTTGAGCCACTCCTTTGTTGCCTTGGCCATGTGTTTTGAGTCATTGTCATGCTGGAACACCCATCCACGACCCAATTTTAATACCTTGGCTGAGGGAAGAAGGTTCTCATCCAAGATTTGATGGTGCATTGCCCTGTCCATCATTCCTTTGATGCGGTACATTTGCCCTGTCCCCTTAGCAGAAAAACACCCCCAAAGCTGAATGTTTCCACCACCATGTTTGACAGTTGGGATGGTGTTCTTGGTTTCATAGGCAGCATTCTTCCTCCTCCAAACACGGCGAGTTGAGTTGACGCCAAAGAGCTCGATTTTGGTCTCATCTGACCACAACACTTTCAACCAGTCCTCCTCTGCATAATTCAGATGTTCAGTGGCAAACTTCAGACGGGCCTGGACATGTGCTTTCTTGAGCAGAGGGGGACCTTGCGGGCACTGCAGTATTTCAATCCTTGTCGGTGTAGTAGTGTGTTACCAATTGTTTTCTTGGTGACTGTGGTCCCAGCTGCCTGGAGATCATTGACAAGATCCTCACGTGTAGTTCTGGGATCATGCCTCACTGATCTCATGATCATTGATACTCCATGAGGTGAGATCTTGCATGGTGCACCAGACCTAGGGAGACTGACAGTTGTTTTGTGTTTCTTCCATTTGTGAGTGATTGCACCAACTGTTGTCACCTTCTCACCAAGCTGCTTGACGATAGTTTGGTAGCCCAGTCTAGCCTTGTGTAGGTCTACAATCTTGTCCCTGACATCCTTGGACAGCTCTTTGGTCTTTGCCATGGTGGAGAGTTTGGAATCTGTTTGTTTGATTGATCTTGTGGACAGGTGTCTTTTATACAGGTAACAAAATGAGATTAGCAGCACTCCCTTTAAGAGACTGCTTCTAATCTCAGTTTGTTAACTGTATGAAAGACACCTGGTAGCCAGAAATCCTGCTGAATGATAAGGGATTAAATACTTATTTCCTCATGAACATGCAAATCAGTGAATAATTTGTTAGACATGCATTTCTTTTGAATTTTATGTTGCTATTCTGTCTCTCAGTGCACTGATGATCAGTGTACTCCTATCAGT